TTACCATCCATGCGATTCGGGCAACTTTGTCTAGCGATCCTTTAAGCTCGTGATACCCAACATCTGTTGACCGTTATTAAGTCACTGGTATCGCGGTTGGTTAGTAAGTATTCCTTTGGTTAGTAATACATCATAAAACCCAAATACATTAAATAATCAATGCTCAATAGCATTCATATTGGTGCTCAATACTGAATCCATTGGTGACATTAAAGGTAAGATTAAAAACTCTTCTTTAACTTCAAGCTCTGTGCCCATAGATTTCAGTACAAAATATGTTGGAAAAGTTAATGTTGATTTTAGTTGGAAAAAGGTTACTCCTAAGCAAGTGTTGTCTGCTGTGAAAAAAATGAAAAGTTCCGAAAGCAAAGATATTTATGGTATATCAAACAATCTCTTTAAACACATAGTAAAAAGTTTAGATAATCCTCTTGCACACTGTATTAATGAACTATTACATGAGGGTAAATTTCCCGATTCATTAAAGATTTCTCGGGTATGTCCAGTCTATAAAAGGGGTCCTAGGGACAAACCAGAAAGTTTCCGCCCAATTTAAATTATTCCAGTGGTTGGTAAATTGATTGAAGTTTTGGTGTATGAGCAAGTAAGCGAGTTTTTAGAACAAAATAACCTCTTAAACCCATCCCAATATGGTTTTAGAAAAGGTCTATCCACAAATAATGCTTTGGACGACCTAATAAGAGAAATCCTCCGGTCTTTTGAAGCCAGAACCTATGCTCAGGCCACCTTTTGTGACCTGAGTAAGGCTTTTGACTGTGTTGACTTTGATATTCTTTTAAACAAATTAAATTATCTTGGGTTTTCTGGTTCACCTCTTAGTTTTTTCTCATCCTATTTACAAAACCGTAGGCAAATAGTTTTCACCAATGGAAAAATCTCTCAAGAAAAAAGATTGAAATGGGGTATACCTCAGGGTTCAGTACTGGGTCCCTTATTGTTTATCATTTATATAAACGATTTGCCATCATCTTTAAATAAAAAGTCCATTTTATATGCAGATGATACCACTTTCTTTCATGTCGGTAGTAAGCTGAGTGAGCTAGACAGTACAGTTCATCAGACAATGTTGGCTGCATCAAGGTGGTTCCATTCAAATGGATTATTACTAAATGAAGAAAAAACTCAAAACATTGTATTTACATTAAAACAAGACTTCTCTGTAACTAACACAAACTATGTACACACAGCAAAATTTCTGGGTATACTCATTGACCATCGGTTATCCTGGAAATCCCACATTGATTATCTGTCTTCAAAATTATCCCGAATCATTTTTCTTTTGAGACGCCTAAGACACCAAATTCCAAACAATTATATAAAAACCGCATACTTTGCTTACTTTCAATCCATTATAAGATATGGGTTGATATTCTGGGGGGGATGCAGGAGAATTAAAAAAATTTTGAAATTACAAAAAAAAGCTTTAAGAATAATGAATAGATCTAATCGGAATGAGCACTGTAAACAATTGTTCATAGAATGGGAGATTCAGACTGTTGTTAATTTATATATATATGATATTATGATGTACAACCTTGGGATACATAACCATCTGAAATTTGGCAACCACAGGTATAATACACGAAACAAAAATAATGCTGCTTTAGAAACACATCATTTAAATACAACCTCAAGTAGCCACATAATTTTATCTATAAAAATATACAATGTTTTTCAAAAGCTAATTGCAAATAGGCCATTAAAAGAATTTAAAAATAAGCTTTACTTATGGTTGTTGGGACACCCCTTTTATAAACTGGAAGATTTTTTCAGTTGTGAAGATGTCCAGTTTTAGGTGTAGTATTTTTTGACATTTTATCATTTTAGAAGTTGCTGTTTTTAATTTGTGATTGTACCTTTTTAACTTGTTATGTACATTTTTCAATATGTATATATATATTTCTCTCTTCAATATTGGGCTATTACCTTTAAGATAGTTTTAAAAGTGAATAAATATTGTATGACCTGGCAGTTGCACTGCATCTTATGACTTTGTCAATGATACTTTTGTATTTTTACGACAAATAAAGATTTATTATTATTATTATTATTATTATTATTATTATTATTATTATAGGAATGCCCTTTTCCTTTGTATTGTATTTTGTAATTTGTTACTCTAGTATAGACTAGTTGTTTCCAGTTAATATTAACTATACAGTACCTATTTAAAAATCATTAAAAAAATTTAATTACCTTTTAACTTCTCAATACAAAAAAAGGAAGAATTTTAAGCGCTTAACTTTTAACTAACCGTAAATAAAAATCTTAAGCTCAATACTGTTTTAATAAAGGTTTTAACAGAGTAGGCTTAGAATACTGACTGACAGACCAGTTAAAATGTTTATCTTACTTTTAAAATGTTAAATAAGAAACTCTTCACATACCATGTCTTTTTGTAAACACTCTAACGTCTTCAGCCAAATGACCTTGGTTTCGTTGTTCTTTAACCATTATTTTTAGATCATCAAAAGCGCGGCATCTTGAAATTGTTACGTACAATTCCCCATGCTGTAAGCAGGGGATGCAGCTCTAGCAGATAAAGACCAACTTTTCGAGGACGAATTTTAGAGGAACACTCGTTTTCCAGCTGAACTTCAAGTAATAATTTCAAGACTTCATCATTCATAACTTTCGCCATTAATCTGGTTCTATTAACCAGTCCTTTTTTTGGATTTAATTTTCTTAGTAAAATTACAATTACACCTTTTTTGACATAACTTGCGAGGAGGTAAACCCTTATCGAGGAGGAAAATATGTCATTCTGAACAGTGTACAGACAAAACTCTAATTTTATTTGCAGATATTTTATATACAGCACCATTTGATTAACTGTATTTTTTCACTTCTATAACAGATTTCGTTTCTCATGACGCTTGATGAACGACTTCTACACCTAATAACAACTTACTTAAATAGGCAATCCTAACGAACTACTGTTGCAGTAAACTTAACTGTTACACATGTTTGAAATTTACAACATCTTGCATAATTACAATACTTTGTGCCTGTTGGCTACTATGAATCGTTTGGATTAATTTAAGATATTAAACTTTTTTGATATAGGCCTACACAAGGTAAATTGACCTCCATGTTACCCAAAATTATACACAGGTCCTATATATATACTAGTGTACATGTTGCTCAAATTCAAGCAATTGCAAAGTATTACAGGGGTTATTTCAAAACCAATAACAGTCATATTTAAAAAAGTTTAACTCAAAGTTTAAAAAGAGTCAACTCAAATATTACCATTCTGTAACTCAGACCCTGATTACCTAAATCCCTGATCTTCGTTATTGATAAACCTTAAGCATTCCGGCTGGTTTTCTCCTTCTCAAAATGCCTCGCTGTACAGGCAACACATGTCATTGATAGAGGGTCAAATTGAGAACGAAAAGTCTTTTAGGGGTAGTGTTAGCTCGCATTCGTAACCTAATAGTTGAGATTGTCCAGGGTCAGGTGCTGACGTGTACGCCTCCTTTCTATGTTTCGTTGTTGTCGCGTCGGAGGCATTTAAAAGAAAAAAACAACAAATAAACAAATTATAGCTACACAAAACAACGATAAATGCACAAATTTAAGTTACAATCATGCTAACATGATCTGTCATAGCGACACAAAGCAACGATAAATATATAAATTCAAGATACAACCATACTAACACGGTCCGTTTTCGTTTTGGGGGTTATGTTTACACAAACTCAAATAGTAAATAAATTTACTCAATGCGTTTCATTGAATCGAAAAATAAATAACAGTAATTAAATTATACAGCTGATCAAAATGTAAACAATTATGTTCTTCATAAGGATAACATGGGAACTTTCAAAGCCACTGGGGCAGAACCCAAGGGACTTTGTAAAAAATGTAAGGCCAGTTGGCAAATCTACGCGACACGCTCTTTCCAATGAGATGTCAATGGATAAAATCGGTTAAGAAATGGCGGAGGAGTTCAACCGACAAAGTTTCATGTAGCGTATTAATTATATATATATACACCATATTACCACACTACAAATGTAATTCTACAATATACGGTACGTAGTTTTATCCAAACAAACGATCAAAACCCCCTAATGATATTGTTATTTGATTCAATAGTCAATGCACATAAGCGAGTCTTATCTTTCAAAGCAGATTAAATAATACAAAGGCAGAGGAATGCGCGAGAACGAGGTCACTTCACGGTTGCTATAGAAACGACGAAACTATCCATTAGAATTGCGCGCCAACGTCAACTAAACTCCAGACTGTATAAACACGCCGAGTGTGTAGTGTTCGACGGAGCTAGGCTACTTTCAGTTGGCAAGACTGGCTTCTAGCCTCGAGCGACGTGGTTCAACCACGAGAAGCGCCTCAAACTCCTGGGTAATCCCCGGTTAGCTCCTCCCACTCTGCCCCCTATCCCCACCTAAAAGACGAGCAAGTGGTAAGTCGGTCGGGTCGATTGACGACAAGTAGGTTTCTCGTATATAATAATTTAGTTTTACAGGCCGGTCAACTGGAATGATGATGAAATAACTTGTCGACGTACTGGTTTTCAGTATTTATCTATTTAATTAAAAAAGACGGTCTAGTGGCCAGACGACCAAGTATCTTGTCGGTCTACTGGTAGGCTCCCTATATTTTGATCAAACTTGGCAAATTTGTTTATTTTATAGTAAGCTATCAATATTTTACTAAAAACACACTACTTTATTAGTTTCCTTGTAGCAGCAAACCTAGGTACTCGTTAAACCTAATGTTATTTAAATAGATCAATTGAAAATCAATTCGGCCAAATGGAAATTCGCTTAGACGGCAGGTTTGCTGCGGCGGGGGTATTTATATATTATAACCAAAATTTAAGATATGAACCGACAAACATTTAAATTACCCTGAAATAATTTCCTCAATTAAAGGATTGGTGTAGATTTTAAACTGTCAGCACATTCCTTAGTGGCAGTCACATGACTTGAGATTTGCATATGTTATACCTGGAGGACGCTGTTTAAGAAACAAGTGTTTCCCAAGTTGATGAGGCCACACAGGCCAGGGGTGCAGGGAGGTCCTCTGCCTTCTGCAGACCCTGAGGCTGAGTTAATCGATTGTCGAGTCACCATTCCAGACCCAAGGATTGATCGGTTGTTGTTTGTAGTTACACGAGGAATGCTCCGTGTTGTACACGGGTCTTTGTGCCTTCGAACAGGGCTTAACAAAAACAAAAATTGTAAGTAATATCCCCTCTATAGAAATACAAACTTCAAATCATAATTTTCGAGGCGCACAATGGTAGCCTGCTCGATTATATGGAGTGCCTAATTCTACAACAGTAGAAGTCAGGTTATGTTAAATTTGCAGTACCGGTAATGTCTTTAGTACTTCTTCAACTAGGTTGCACTTCCGCTTGCCAACCCCCGCCTTTTCAATAAAAAATCAAGTGAGCTTAATTTTGATATTTCTTGTTTTGTTTGGATAACTTTCTGGTTACTTTAAGATTGAATGCATTATTGAATCTTTATTTCACCAGTATAAAAAGGAAAATGTACTAAACTTATTCGATGATAAAATACATAAATATGACATTAAAACATAAAATCTATCTTTAACAAATTGCGTACAAGGTTCGGATTATGTAGGTTAGCGAACCTAACCCAATCTAACCTTAGAGTTGTTACCAATATAGCACACTTCTGGCGCCTGCCAACAAATGCCTCTAAAAAGGTAGGTATAACAATTTGCAGCTTGTTTGTAAACATATCTTCTAAGTATATAATAAAACGTGTTTGCAGACTTTCTAGTCAATAACACATTCAAAAGTGGTAATCTGCAAATCCAATAGTTACTGCCACAGCATAGATATAGAATGATCAATTATTTTTGTAAATATACATCAAGTTTGAGAGAGGGAAAAATACAACAATTTTAGAACAAATCACTTATTAAAGTTCACTTATTGTGTTACCTATTTTTACATTGTTATCATAGCTAGTTAGGTCTCCGTGTATTAGGGCTATCCCTAGGAGTGTGCGAAAAGTATTTTTGGATTTGAATAAAATCGAATACTACATAAAATTTTCAAACATTGAATATTACGAAGCCAATATTTACATTATCACTATAAAATCCAAAGAGTTTTCCAATCACAGGTTTGGAACTCTACTAAGGTTAATAATCCTGATTTTAACCAATGCATCATTTAAAAATAATCCATTTTTGCCTTTACCTGTTTGTTATTGGTACAAATTAGTACAGTACAGGGCTTCCAGCATTTTTCTCGTCTTATTTCATTGAAATTACTATGAAAATGAATAATTTCCTACATTTATGATTTTTTTACAACAATACAGGAGTACCACACATAATCAAAGCATTAGACTCCTAACAGGATTATGTCAAGAAAGAAACAGTTAAAATTTAAAACATATTTATATACAAAATTGTCTGCCCAGTAAAACATACTTAAAAGAAAAATGTGAATGTCAGGCATTGGAAGCAGTCAATAGCTTTAAATATCTAGGAATAATTGTAGATCATAATTTAAAATGCAATGCTCATATACTATAGGTATATAAAAGAAAAACTTCGAGCATGTGCCTCAAAACTGTACCACTTACGAGATTACTTACCATTTAAGACATTAAAAGTTATTTATGCATCTATGTGCGAGTCACTTCTTAGATATGGATTAAGATCATGGGGGAATGCCTCAATATCAGAATTACAGAAACTGCAGACTGTCCAAACAAGAATATTAAAGATTAAAGATAATCACTAAGCTTGGTTCGGCTATTGCAAATGAATTTTCAATGCTGTGTTATCAGTTGACAGGTGCTCTGCCAGTAGAAAAACTGTTTACTTATTTGTTGATTATTGATTGTTACTATTCAGATAAGTTCAAAACAAAAAAAACCCCTTAGATATAGCTCCAGGAAGGAATTTTATATTGTTCCTAGTATAAGAAATAAGTATACAAAACGAACAAGGAGTTATTTGGTACCAACACTATTCAATAATCTGCCACAAAGTCTAAAAGTTGTAAAAACTTATAAATTGTTGAAGGTCAAGTTGAAAAATCTTTATTTATTTGAATAGTAGAAAATTCAAAAATTCTTTTGCTTATTTTTGTCTGTGTTTTTGTTCAAAATCTAAATTAGGCCTATAATTGAATGTTATGATTAATCTTTAGTCATTTTAATTCTTTGTTACTGATGATATTTAAATTTTAAAACTTGTTAATACTCATGTTAAGTAGTTTTAGGTAAACAAATATTACTTATATCGATTTTGTTACTGCTTTTCTTTGCTCCACTATTTTATGTTACAATTTTATATGTTTACACTCATGTAATGTTAGTTGTTAAGTTTGTTGGTTCAAGCTTTATTACTGTTTAGTAAGGGAAAACTAATAAATTATGGCTGACTCAACGAGATGCATGAAAAGACACTTATGTTAAATCAATAAATGCTATGGACAAGCCTTTTATGAGGCTTATGTAGCTTAGTGTAATAATGTCCTTGTCATTGTGTTTGTATTGAATAAATAAATTTAATTGAATGATGAAGTTAAGTCAAAGAGGAAAAATATAAAAAATCAAACCTTAAATAGTCCATGATAATATCAATATCAATTCCAAAGGTTCTACAAATTCTACAATAATAATGTTCCGGTTATAAACTAACTCTTAGGCTACTAAAAATATTGTAGCAAAAAGGTTTGTATCTGAACTTAATACACTGTTATTTCATGTAAAGAGAATTATAACGGATGGGATCAAGTGGATTAACCGCGTTGCTGGGACCTTTCCAGGAAAAATAAGTAAAATTAAATGCAGACAGCCGGTCTTAAGTAGCAACACTTTTACAAGTTAATTTTTTAAACTGCAAGTAAATCGATTTTGAAACTGCAGTGTCTTTTTCTGGAAGGAAGGGCAGCAGGATGTAAACAAACCATCAATCATTGTCTCCAGTAGGGGGCGGGCATTCTCAAGGTCAAAGACCCTCCCCTCTTACACCTCCAGTTTGTATTACAATTCTCCTATTTCAGACACAATTGTGTAACAAAACAAAAAAGTAGAGTAAAAAAAGATATTTCTCTGTTCAAAAATAGAAAAATGTTGCAGATTATTTTCAAAGAAATTAATTCACCGTAGTTTATGACTTGTTTAAAAGTATGTTTAATCTATGCTAAAGACTGTGAAGTGCAGTTCTAACATTGCTATGCTTGCTAGTTGCTATTCAGACAACACTTTCAGACAATTAACTTATTTTGTCATCCCACTGTACTTTAAGTTCACATTACAAAAAGTAAATCCTAATATTAACTAAGCTGGGAGAATTTATTTTATAGCTTTACAAATATATATATATGTCTAATAAACTAATACAAATTGAATTGCTGCTAAATATAGGTTATTGTTAGTTAATCAAATAAGAATGGTTGACAGTCTTATCTTTCCATGTCTGTAAGTTCTTTTTTTCTTCTTTTTTTAAGAGGTTGGCGGTCTCTTTTAACCTAGCATTTGCCTGTCCACATAGACTAACTGCTCGTGTGTGGAACGTATCCAGCAAAGCAAGGGGTGGGCCACCACCTCGTCCCAACCGACTCAGTTGCAGTATCGTATTGTAGCATTTTAAAGGTGGCTGAGCGGAGTAATTTTAATAATGACACAAAAAATTATCGTCTTTGAAAATGGGGGTTTTTAGAGTTAAGGAAGATGTCATAATATGCTGAAGTTGCCGTTGTGATTTATAATACAGAAGCATTAAATGTTGTGATGAAATAAAACAACCCAATACTATGATTTATTTGGTTGAAGTTACAGATAATTTCTAGGTTTATTTACTATTCAAATGCTCAAATATATTCATTAAGATCAAGCCAGGCTCGAATACTATTCGTTCAACTATTCAAACTTTTGAATATTCGCATACGCCTAGTTAAGTCCTACTGTTTGTTTACTCACCGTATATTTTTTACCCACCTTTAAAATTTGGCACCTCATAAAATGAAGTGTTGTTTACTAAAATTTGCTTTGTTCGATACTAATTCATTGATTATAAAGCAAGAAGCAGATACATTTCGTCGTTGATATGTTGATATTAAAAGTTTTAATTAAACACATAGTTATTGTGTTTAGTTAGAAGAAAGTTAACGGTTGTGTTAAATTATCTTGTAAAATGTTTGCTTCAAATGTTAAGTTCCTAAAAATTCTTAATCTAATTTTAAAACCACTTTATGATGTCTATGATTCGTCTTAGTAATTAAATAGTAAAGCCTTTATCTTAACTGTGTTTCTTTCTTGGCACAATCCTGTTCGAAGTAAAAGGATTTAGTAATGTGTGGTACTGCAATTTTGATAGAAAACCATGGCTGTAGGATACTATCAATCTTTATAGTAATGTCAATCTATTTAAATTAAAAATTGTGATGTAAATATTAAAATCTTGAGAAGAAAATGGCAAAAGTAATGGTAGCCTCGTACTGTACAGATTTTGTACAGAGAACTGCGATACAAAATAATGTACCGTAACAACATTAAATTTTCTGTACCGCAGACCCCTAATTATTGCTTTTAAAAATCAGTTGTCTAAGACTTGTTGGCTAGACAAAGCCAAACAAAACCTACAAATTTTTACTCTGGCTGAAAACCCCCAATTGTGTTTCCAATCATGTGGTTTGATAAAAATTGTGGGTTTTCAATTTCCAAGTTCTTAATTACTAGTTTAATGCTAAAGGAGTTTATTACTGAGAAAGGTTTATTACTTAACTTATCTGATTAAAATTGTTTTCCATTTTTAGTTCCTTTGTTACCTACTGAATTTATTTCAATCATTTTTTTAAATATAGAATGTCAATAACTAAAGATTAAATTGGTGTCTCAGAAAATAAAACATTTACTATTTGTAAAAACATCTCAGAAAGACAACTATTTAATACTTACGTTCTGGATCTTTTGGAGTCTTCTTCACCCACAACTTCAACAACTATTTTCAAGTCACTGTTCAGTGACTCCTCAAAAATGGTGTTATCTCTTGAAAGAACTTGAGATTGGTTGGGACCATAAAAGCATTGAACCTGTACTTTTGCTTCCGGTGCAATCTGAAAGAGCTTCCTTCCAACTTCTTCAATTTTTTCTAGAAAAAAAAAGTACTGATAAAAACTAGTTACAGTCGCAATTGGTTCAGATAATTTTAATTGCACCGCGTTCATTTCATATCATATTAATTTTGTATCTGGTTTAAAATTATTTGTCAGTTATATTGTATTGTATTGTATTTTAAGAGGGGCGGACTCAGGGCCCTGGTTGTCAACCGAAGCTTGTTGTGCATCCCCACTAGCCACTAACCAGGTAAGTATACACCTGTGTCCTTGACCAGTTGTTGGAGGTTTTGCCCAAAGTTAGCATCTCCTATCTGCTTTAGACGAAACAGAGCCCTTTTCCTAGCCCCAAGTGTGTCACAATCCAAAATAACGTGCTTTGCAGTCTCATCAGACTGGTTGCCAAGTCCACACCCCTGATTGTCATTGATAATTCCTACAGTGTGAAAGTGTTTCCTGAAATGGCCATGTCCAGTGATAAGAGCAAGTTCCTGCTTGACCTGCCCTCTGCCCAGCTTTAGAAGGAAGCCAGAGAGGGAAGAGGGTGGTAGGATATGAGAGCAGCTTCTAGCCAAGTAAATAATTGTCCAGAATAATCAAGCCAACGTTTAAGTTGTTTTTGATGGTAAGGTTTTTGTTGTGTATAAAGTTGTTAGATTTTGAATTGATCTGTGATTTGTGAAATAATCCCTATCAAAGTATATATTTTCTCGTTCATACAACAACTTTGTACAAAAAGTAGGCCTATATCTTGAATTTTGTATTTTGTCTACCCAAAGGTGTATTTACATAAAAGGTCATCAAATATATATGAAATTTGTTGGCAATTTTTTATTCTGACTCTTACCAGAGACCTGATAAATAAGATAAGGTATCAGATTTAAATGGATTAGATATGCCTGTTTGTCTACTTAAAGCAAATGTGCAACATTATACGTGCCAATCATACATATTACCTACACATTTTATTTGACAATAATTTACTTTAACTAAAACTTTGCATAATCACAAAAAATGCTTAGCATTATTGGTCACTGTCATGGACAAGTAGAGGGTAAAACAAAAGTAGGAAAACTCGTCTCTTTAACAGTACAGTATGTTAATGAGGTATTTTTAATTTACTACATAATATATCCAAAAGCAAGTGTGTTTGTAAAATGTAAAGCAACTGAAAATGCAAAATTAGTAGATGATTAGATAAAGAAAAGTTCTAGGGATCTCTTAATATCCAAAATGTAAGGAACAAATGTCACAGTTTCAAGTAATGCACAGACAACATGTGCCTATACAATACTTAAAAGGCAGTAACCTTTACACAACTTAATAAAAGAAACTTGCAAATTTTTAACGACTTCAATTACCAATAAACAAAACTTAAATTATATAATTTACCCTTTTTAGTAATTTTCTGAACCTAAAAAAGTTAAAAATATGCTTAGAGGTTTTTAAAACGCAATATGGTGTGGTTTTATTTTAAGGATTTTTAAGATGATAATTCCCACACATATAAAACCTTGTAGTTATTTATTATTGTTTTCATGTCTAAACCATTTATCTTCATTTTATCATTGTACTTGCCCTCTTTTTTAATTTCCTTCAGTGATGTATTTAGATAATTACCTATGCTATTTATATTTATGCTATGTATATTAATCCATGTATATCTATGCTACGTATTATGGTAATAGTGGTAAAATTTTGAGAGAAATTAATGAATATAAAGTAAATCAATCTTATTGGCTATAACTTAAGTAATCTCTCACCTATTTTATCTGCGTTGCTAAAGTGGAAGACTGAATGATTCTCAGACTCAGAGCTGGGATATATGTTTAGACAAACATTGTACACTTCCAATCTTGTTTCCACTTTTGGTTCTCTGGCGATGTTGATGACCTAAAATAATTATGATACATATAACAGATGTATGATTTAGTATTGAAGGAACACTAGAGACAGTAATATTTTAAGGGCAAACTCTCTATTATTAAACACAAGGGAAATACAGTAGACCCCCTCTTAACCGATAATCGGATTATCCGCCTTTGATCGTAAAATAATACAGTTTGTTTTAACCGACCTTGCTTTGAGAGCAGTTCGGTTTAACCGCCGCTTTCTAGGAATCTCGGCATTTCCGCTCACGCTGGGCGATGAGAACTGAACCATACGCTTATCTTCACAGGATATGACTAAGAATAAATTATTTTGTATTGATCACAAAAATTATAGCATAGCCTATTGTCAGTTTGTCATCATCGTTCTTAGCGCGAGCACATCTGATCTGATTTGTTATCTGTATGGCAAATTTATAACATCATAAAGTGCGTTACCTGATTATCTTATCACTGGAGTCAATAAACAGAAACAACACAACTTGTAGGGAGGGCAGGGAAAGGGGGTTTACAACTCCAAGGTCAAGATAGTTTTTGTGCCTGGAGCCTCCATTGAGAGGTTATAAACATCCTGTCTTGTAACAAAATGGTTGCTTGCATCTTTAATTTCGACAAAAGGTTCTGTACTGTATCAATTAATACATTACAGTAGGCTACTAAAGTTATTGAAATATTTTTATTGATAAATTTTTATTGACTCTTGCCTAGTATTATAATATATTCCACTGAAAGTAGGCCTATTTGACTTAACCGTGTTTTGTGTTTATTTGTGACTTTTCTGTCAATACGAAAAAGGAGATAAGAGTAGTTTATTTTATAAATAATGCAAGTATGACTTCAAAATAATGATTATATAATTCCAAATGATATAATGATTTTATATCATTATATTATCACTTCATTATATTATGATTTTAGGGATTGCCCGTTTTAACCGACCTTTTGAGTTATCCGACCTAGGTCCGGTCCCATTAGGGTCGGTTAAGAGGGGGTCTACTGCACACCGGCTCGCCGCAGCAAATCCGCAGACTAAGCCAATTTCCATTGTCTAATTGAATTTTAACTAAAATTTTGCAACAAAAACTTAGCATAAGAGATTTATTTCCTATGTAAATAACCTAACATACCTTATAACGAGTACTTAGGTTTGCTGCTACAGGGAAGAAACTTTTTTTGTAAAATGTTAGTAATGAAATAGATAAATTTGACCAAAATATATCCACAAACAAGCAAACTTGAGTTAGTTTTCTTCCATAGGAATAACATAACAATTTTGGGCATTTGTATGTTTTTAAGGTAAAAATTGCAAAAAATCCTAATGACTCCATGAACTCCATGGGACTAATGAACTCCATAACACCTCATAATTAGGGAAATACCCCCTCGGCAGCAAACCTGCAGAATAAGCAAATTTCTATTTGTCTGATTGGATTTTTTTTTGATTTTTTGGACACAGACGTTGTATTTTATTGTGGCTTAGCTTTAGCTATGAACAAAAGTTTTAAAATTATGATGATGATGAAAGAATCTTTTGACATACCACAATGTATTAATACATTGATGATGTGGTTGAATACAATGACCTTGACGAAGTTCTAAGGAACAAAACTAGTTGTCATACCAGCAACTGTGGTTGGATAAGGTAATCCTTTTATTTTATCAAAAACTATAGGTTTTCTAATCCCGTTAATCCCTGGATTAAAAGCTGCTAATCCCGGTATTTCAAGGTATGAAAACTGGCCAGATCCTGGATTGATACCCCTAGGGGCCCTAGGACTATATAAACCTGTTTAAACCTAACAAACCTTATTGCGTGAAATACAAAAGATAAGCTAAATGAAATAATAACATGAAGTACTGAAAATTTTACACTTACTTTCCTTTCAATTGTTGTATGGTTATCCTTGAGTCCATACCACGACTGAAGGAGGTACCATGCAGACTCAGGAATCGGAACATAATCCAAACCTTCCACCAAGCCAGGTTTTAGATTTGATGATTCATCTACAAATAAAAATGGATTTAACTTACCACATATGTAAGAGAATTTAAATGAACTAACAAAGTAAGTTAGGTTAGTCAGTGGCTCATTCAGCTGGGCAACAAACTTTGGATCCATTGCAACAATATTGCAAGTTTGGATAATAGTACCTGAGACTAGTTCTTATAGGTACATTTCAACTCTTACTGTTCCGGCTCATCCTTGGTTTGTTAGGATACATCCACACACAGACCTGAGGCTATGTGAACGGACAAGTGCCAAGTTAAAAAAGGTCGTCAACCTCTTATTTTTAAAGAAATATATTTACAATATAATCAAAAATTAATTTACTGTATTAAGAAAGCAGCAAGAGGATTGATTATTTTATAATTATCATATATATATATATATATATATATATATATATATTGGCCTATATGAATTGGAGCAGAGGGTGTTTTTGGCCTCTGGGGACCTCAAAACAAAAAAGTAAATCGGTACCGGGTCTGGGTCTTACCATGAGACCTACAGTAGCCTAATGGCTTAATCCCTATGTGGGAAATTCACTAAAAAAAAAACATAAATTGTTTCTAATATAGAGCATTTAACTTATTTGAAGAGTTTTACATCATGTAGGGCCTAATTACAGTAGCCTAATTAATTTTTCCTGTTATACTTAGTTTATTTCATATAATCAACTATTTCTTAATAAGTAATAAGCTGTTTTGACGCCATTATTTCATGTAAAATGGCATTTTGGCTTCACAGACAGAATGACAGAATGGACAGACAGACAGACGGACAGAAATTGAGATAAGACTCGTTTTGGCTGTCTGAGGCTATGAAATGTAAAAATAACCAAAAACTGCATGATTCTAAGCAATGTACAGACAAAACTGTAAATTTATTTATATATATGAATAAAGCTTTTCCGATTCTGATACCTAAAACCTAAGCACTTTTTAAAGCCTAAAAGGTGAATTATTCGAGTCTATGAGATCCTCATTACAGTGATCGGGCCTAAGATTTTGTCAGTATTATCACCCAAAACTGTTAAAAGAAAATCCTTTGAGGAGCAGTCTTAAGTTTTAGAAGACCATTTCTCGCCTAAAATATTTTTTGTGTCAGAGCTTTATGCATTTTACAGCCGCTGTCAGATGCCAACCGAGTCTATTTAAGATTTTGTTGTGGCAATTTAGCACCTCGTGAGTACATGTCAATTCAACTCATTTCCATGTGATTCATTATGAGATGAACTCATTTCAGGTCTAAATAATTAAGTCATTTGGCAAAAATTATTGTCCAAGGTAAGATTTCAACTGAAATTTATCCATGGCATTCCTGTTGGAACAGGCCAATAAACAGATAATTGTCAAGTGAAAGGGTTATCGAACCTGAAAAACTTTTGAATACAGTGATCTGGCTGCTGCATGACCAGCACCCGGGAATCAACCGCATGAAAATGCTTGCTAGGAGCTATGTTTGGTGGCCTGGTTTGGACAAATGTATTGAGGAGGTAGTTTCAGCTTGTGTAGTTTCAGCATGTGTGCCAATGCACAAGAAATACAGTCTCGAAAATTCCTTTGCATCAATGCCTGTTATTTCAGTAACGTTGTTGAGAGTTTGTTGCCAAATGTCCGTTGACAACGAGCGTTGTATCCCAGGGATCGTTTTTAAATGTGTTGGAAGTTACAAAACATTTACTAACGACTGCAAACCGATCATCGAATGCGTTGCCACAACACAACCAAAAAGCGTTATTTTAATAACAGGGAGTTTGCCTGACAAAAGTTGTCTTGTGGCAACCCTGTTATTCATCCTGTTATGTTATATATATCGTACGTCTCTAATAAAACACCCCAGATAAAACGTAATAGTAGTTTACGCAACAATTGCGTAAAGATAGTGTTAACGACACGAGTAGAAAATTTAAGGTACGAGCCTTGGCGAGAGCCTTAAAAACTTCTACGAGTGTCGTTAACACTATTTACGTGAGTTGCGTACACTACTTTACCTACGACGGTGTTTTAATTACTAAAAATCATTACTCATAACATAACTTCTAAGAGAGGTTATGTTTTTGTCTTTAACCTCTCATTGCCACTGACAGTGATGCAACAAAACATTGTATCAAACACTAATTGCACCAATCAACGATTAAACTGACCTGAACAGCTGATTAGTTGAATTTCAAATCATTACAATTTTGCTTCTCCTCTCTCAATCCATGAACCTTATTGGTCCGTTACCCGTGTTGTTATGAGTAAAACTATGCTGTTATGATAGTAAACAATGCTGTTATGAAATACTTTTCAATTCTAAGAACTGTACTGAAACGGCTATTTTAAAAAACGGTTGTAGGTAAAACAGATAATATTTTATAATACCGTATTAAATTTGCCTGAAAAAAAAAATTGGTAAACTTACCCAAAAGCAGAGAATTGTCTATTGGACCTGGGTTTATTGCGTTCTCTGCTCGTTCACTGTTTTCAAGTCCAACAAAGTATTTGAAGGTTTTAAACCACTTTGCATCGATGATATACCTAAAATATATACAAGATGTAATCAAAGAAAAATGTGTCTATTGGTTTTAAGGTTTAGTATGTCTCTGAGAATTGAGTTTTATTAGAATTATGTTTCCATTATAACAAGAAAATTAAACAATTGTTGATGACTGAACAATTAATTGAAAATCATGCAACAGATTTAACACTAAACGCAGATGAAGATTTGGGACTACAACATTGGCTTTAGGTACAGTCATAAAATACAAATTTTGCTCTGTAAATTCTCTTCAAAAATTCAGATGTAATTTTTATTGTCCTAGTATAATCCTACTGAGCATTTCTTTATTGATTCGGTTTGTGATTTTTAAAATTCAATTTTTGATGCTCAATTTGAAATTCCAGCTTATTTTAATTGGCTTTTAAAGTTGGATGGGTTCCTTGGAATTTTTTTGAAATTTCAAAAACAAACTTTAACCTTTTTTATATAGCCCTAAACTATTTTTCTGTTTGAGTTTTTAAAATTTATTATGACGTTGGATCTGAATAGTAATATTTTCAATTAGCCGTCTACAGAATCACCGTAAACTAATATGAAAAAGAAAATGATTTTAAAAATAGGCTACTTTTGACTAGACACTCTCTTAGGATAAAAATGGACCTTCATTCACTGCCACCGTGATTTGTATAAAGCAAGCAATACACAATTGACGTTTGAAAGTACCGTATACCAGTATGTCTTGGTTCTAACACAACATATACCTAATTTAAACATTTCTTCCTGGGAAAAAAAATCATAGTGGTACTTACCGAACATTGTGTTTGTTTCTTAGGCCCCTACTGTTAGTAAATTAACATAAAAATTCCAAATTTATGTGATCTTTTAACTTAGGTACCCTAACTAAAAAGGATTATTTTAGCACTAAAATCCTACAGAATGTGAAGCTACAGTAGAGCTACTCATCCATCACTATAGTCAATGTTCAACCACTAATTGACTGAATAATTAACGACCAAAAACTAAAAGCAAAAGGGTAAGTTACAGTTCTGCAGAAAACTTGCGGTATATTAAGTTATCGGATGAAATATTAGTTCAATATAAATATGTATATCGTATCGGATATAGTTTTTACCACGCAATATAATATAGGCCTAATAGATAATATGTATGAAGATTGTAAAAGCCATAGGGTATTTTTCAGAAGAATCTTCTACAATGGCCTACAGCAGTTAGGTTGATTATGATTCAGTTTAGTTTATGATAATAACAAACAAGGTAACATTATGTTGTGTAATTCGTTAAAGAGATAACTTAACTTAGGCCTATACAAAAACTTCAATTTGTATTTTCTATTTCATTTTTTCATTTCATATTTTCTATTTAAAAAGATCTAATTTCGTAAATGATATTTTGTTTATCATTATCGAAAACAAATTGATTTACACAAACATGAGCGTGCTGCAGGACGCTGTAAGAGTGGCAGGTAGACAGCCCTCTTATTGAATATACCCATAACAATAAAATATATAGGCCTATATAACTTACATACTTAACAGAGAATAGAGAATCAATAGGCCTATTTAAGTTAACTTACATCAAGTGAAATAGGCCTGGGCAGCAATTTAATGTTTAATCGATAAATAGTCAAGTTAAGGTTTGAATACCTTTTTAATGACCGAGTGATTCATGTAGTCTGTCTAGGCTAAGTTACAGGTCTTGATAATCAAAGGGAGTCAACATCAGGCCACAGGGGGGTAAATTTTCGTTCATTATTTTGAACATGCCGATTTTCTGAACAGCCAAGACCAGTCTACAACATAGACCAGTAACTTATACGTCCCCGCACTTTTTACTTTGTAAATAATTGGCCAAATGTTTGTGTTTACGTGTTTTTGTCTGTGTTCATTTGTTTCTTTTTATGAGTTAACTTATTGTTTGACAAAAACTGACATGTTCTTTTAAATGGTTTGTTCTTAAGACCTATGATCACCAGCTGCGACTAAATGGTAGGTTCTCTGCGGAACTATAACTTAACTTACCAAAGCAAAATAGTAGGCTACCTAAACTTATCATAGCAAATTATTATTAAAACTACCAGTAAACTTACATGATAGAATAACTTAACATAGGCCTACCAAGTCTTGATATATATTTTTTGCTAGTAAAACGCAACTAGGCCTACAGTAAATGGCAACCAGAGAAGTAATAATAACCTCTAAATGTTTAAAAGATTAACTTTAACTTCCGGTGTTAACCAATCCTGTTCTAGCCTAGTTTTGCGTTAAGATATTCAGTTGAATACTGCCCAGGTTTTGGCTCTAAGTTCAACTCTTAACACGTTGACTGCTGAAAACCTTAACAATGGCGCTCCCTAAACTGCGGGCGGAGCCCTGGCGCTCTACTGAATCAGCGATCGCTATTGGCATTGGAATATCTCAGTAAGACGAATCACAAAATAACAGTGGTGATTGTTCTGCGTTGCCCTGAAAGTGGACGTAGTCTACTAAAACACCCAAGGGAGCAGCACTGCCTGGATCAATAACCAGAGTCTTTGTAATATGGCTCGATTAGAGAATATCCCCGAAAACGGGACAAAAGCATTGCCAGGGGAGATTTTACGGGAATGTTTCCTACTGACCTACACCAAAATATAGCTTTGTATTCTAAGCTACAGCCTGGCAACAATCACATTGTCGCTGGCGAGTGCTGAGCTCAGACAGACACAATATTTGGCAGGCGAGCACACTACTGATATAGCAGTAGGCCGCGAGCAGTGCCAGTGCCGCGCTACTGCTATAGCAGTAGGCAGCAGTCAACGTGTTAATGCAGTTTTATTATAATATTATTTAAGTTATTATGTTTATAACCCAATCTAAATTAAGCCTGGTGTAACTTAATGATTGGTGATCCGAGGCTACATGGTATCTAATTTACTACCTCCGCCTAGGCTCTTATACCTATATTGATCACTGATGCTATAATTCTCCTGCTCCTATAATTGATAGGTCTATAGCTTAAGCCTAAGCATAGCAAAGGCAAGACAAATTTTGGATAGATTTGCGCATTATGACAGAAAAGTGTGGCAATTTCGATAAACAAACTTGTGAAAGAATCCCAGTAAGTTAGTAGATCACGATTAAGTTAATCCTTGTTTAACTTATTTAACTATGAAACATCTTGGCCCATAGTCGTAACAGAACCTTGACAAAAGCATTAACTTACCAGGTTTGTCCCAGTGACATGCATTCCCTTAGGGTTTTCTCTATTTGGCTTTTTTGAGCCTCAATATCAGGAAAACTTTTATCAGACGAGAATTCGACCATTATTAGATTTTTAATTTGTTTTAATCATACTTTACTACGAATCAAAGTTAGAAGTGAGAATTGGTTGATAGAATGAATGATACATTGTAATTACTTTTTAAGAAACTTTACAAAATTTTCTTTTCTAATTCTTACAAAAAAAAAAACAACGCTAATTTTCTTTTCTTACGAAAAAAACGCTAACAACGCTACGTCGCTACGCTACACATGCAAACCGCAAACCAAACCTCCAAACACAGAGAATAGAAACACAGACAGATCCAGATGACAGATGATATTCTCGCTGGCAGTGGCAGAAATAAAAATACCCCCGCCGCAGCAAACCTACAGACTAAGCGAATTTCAACTTGTCTGATAAATAAATAAATAAATAAAATTGTCTTTATTGGTTCAAGCGTTAAGTCAATTTTACAAAACTGTTTTTCTCTTACAACTTTCGTCATCTAAAATCTAACAAACAATGATAAACCAAAATAAGTACATAAGACTAAAAGCTATACATGAAATGAGCAAATTTTTATATTCGTTTTGAACCCTGTTAAACTTTTTTCTCTTATTTTTAAAGGGACAGAGTTGTACAATTTAGGTCCGAAATAGGCAAAGGCTCTCCGACCTACCTCATGGCTGACTTTAGGCACGTGCAACAAATCGTTCTGTCGGGTGCTGCGCTTAGAAACGTCCCGCCGGGCTGGCAGTTTTTCTCTCAAGTAGAGTGGCTTACCTAGGGATAACGTTTTGTGTATGAGAACACAAGTAGAGGCCTTACAAAAAACTTCAATGGGCAGCAATTTCGCATCACTTCTGAATGCACTTACATGTTCTCTTTTTCTTAAGCCATAAATGAACCTGACTGCTGCATTCTGCGTTCTCTGTATTTTATTACAGTCACCTTTTAATATACTGTTTCCATATGCTGGAAGACAGTATTCAATAGCAGAGAGAACTAGCGACTTGACTATCTGGACCCTAGCGTCCTCAGGCAATAGATATCTAAGCCTATACAGTCCGCGTAATCTACCCAATGCCTTCTGATTACATTTTTACTAAAATATTTCTATAAATAAGACATATTTATTCCCTATTTAAATAACATTAGATTTAACGAGTGCTTAGGTTTGCTGCTACGGGGAAGGTAAAAAGTGTTTTTTGATCATACGTCAATAGTATAGGATGAAAGAAATCAATTTACCAAATTTTATCAATATATATCCATAAACAAGTAAACGACAACAATTTTCATTTTCTCCATAAGAATAAAATGGGAATTTTAAATTACACTTTTTTGAATTTTCTCCGTGACCATTAGGCCTGGCCTACAACAGCGCTTCAATATACTAAATTATTTATTTTTTTAAGTTCTACAAAACGGTTTGGAAAGAAATTGCAATTTTTTTTGTTTTTAGGCTCAAAAATGGAAAAAACCTTTTTTACCCCATAAAACCCCCCATAAACTTCCGTTCCCATGGTCCGATTATGCTGGATCGCGAACTCGTTCGAATAAACGTAGGTTTACACGAAACGGCACACGGAAGATTTCTCAGGTGCCGTTTGACGTCACTAACTGCTGAAGTCACTTTGAGGGAACACCAATACCGCAACGATACGGATTTGAGCCATCGGCCTCGGTGGTGCAGTGGATAGCGTTGCGGCATAGATAAAACCATAGACTAACCAACACAAGTAGACTTCTCATCCACTGAGCTATAATTCTAACTGGAGGTAGCACTGAATGTCAAAGATGCGTGTCGCTAGCCGCCATGTTTGCGTGAGGTGGGTGTCCCTAAGAAGCCATGTTATTGCTATGACAAAAAAACTCACTGCTATACAACCTAGTTATAAGAAGCCATGTTATTGCTATGGTAAGAAAACTTACTGCTATACCAATTTTGCCACCATGATCACCGCTAGCGCTCCTAGACCCCTCCCGCCAGGGCGTACAATTTTTATTTCAGCTGCAGTTTCTTTATGCGGACAAATTGAAAGCATTCTATTGGCTGAGGGAACACCATTACCGCAACGATACGGTTTGGTTTGGATTGGTGCGGCCTTGATTGGAGCCATCGGCCTCGGTGGTCATAGAATAGCGTGCTGGGCAGAGAAACTGCGAAGGTGCCAGGTTCGAATCCCATCGGTGGCACTAACTTTTTGTCTAAGATATTTTCATTATCAGCAAGTTTGATTGGTTAGGTTTGGTTATGAGAGTTTAATTTTATAATATAAAAAAATTAAAATCTTATATTTTTTCTTAGTTTTATAATTAAATTTTGTTTATAATTTCTCATGTTTTACTCTTATTTTATCCGTATTAAAAAACTGCAGCTGAAATAAAAATTTGCCGCCAGGGCAGTCGAAGGGGAGTGGAGTGAGTCAGCAGCACGGCCGTGGTCGGCCAGTCACTAATCTACTTCAGTGAGTCACTCCACTCCACTTGCACCAGTTGCACCTGCACTTCTCTCCAGTCCAGTCCAGAAAGAACCAGAGATGAGAGCAGAGAACACAATAATATAAACAAAACATAAGCATTCGGCTAGGCATTCTCGTCATTCGGTCATTCATTCTCGATTCTCGAACGTCAACGTACTGCAACCGCAACGTATTTGTATTACTTTACTATTACTAATGGAATGGTATGGAGTCCAGTCAGTCAATCAATCACTAACGTCTTTATTGGTCTCGCTCTTGCTTGCTTTCATATTCTAACATTCCCACAATCAGGCGAGGCAGGAGGTGTTATAATTTATAAATCGTCCCTTTTACCTCGCTATAGAATTACTTTTAGGCCTACTTGTGATCAATATATATAGTGAGTACAACTCCTTAACCTAGTATCTAACCTAACCTAACATAACCTAGTTTTGGTCATTTTGGCACTAACTTGATTTTTAGACGCTTTTCTGGCCTTATCTCCGTTTATATCCATCTTTATCTTTAAAGCTGTTGCATATTCTTGGTCAACTCGCTCTACCGGTTAATTTAAGTACCCACATGACTTAACTTAAGTTTAATTAAGGTAAACAGCCCCAATACCGGCAGGGGCCCAAATACCGGCAGCGGTGACTTCAACGTCATTTAACAACACTTTAACATTTGAAATAGCCATCTTATTTGTTATTGGCTGTTACATCAACTATTCATCTGTAGAAAAAAACAATTATAACACCTGATTGGCCTATTTCACACATTTAGTGATAGTTCTTTATATGTTTAAAAACATATTTATGGAAGAGTTTACCTTAACCTGCCAGAATTGGGGCTGTTTTACGCAAAAATATTGTTTTTCCGCTTTTACGGGAAAGACGGTGCTTTCCCGGAGAAAATGACAATCATTTTTGAATTCAAGACGTTATTTATCATAATAATAAGGTAAAAAATATTATTTGAGCGTGATGTCCATGATAAGCATAGGTACGGTAACTTAATAAGCCTACCAGTTTTTTAGTTAAGCAACTGGTATTTTAGTTAAGAATTAACTTGCAGTCATTTGTCAGTTATCAGACTGATAAATGCTGTTTATTTATAGGCTAACTGAAAGTACACCTAACTTATCCCAAGGTTGTAACCATGTCAAATCCAGCAGAGGAGGGGACAAAAGTATCTCGTTTTAGCATGGACGATTGGGAATCTTGGTAAATCTGAACTTTTGTGGACTTTTCTTTTAAACCTTCCTAACTGAAATTAGCAAGTATTTTTGAAATTGGCTCGTCGTTTAATCAGCTGTTCCAAATAGCGCCGTCCTTAGGGTGGAGCGTCCGCTCCAGGCCTCGCACCGGGGAAGGCCTTGATGCGCGCTAATAATAGGTAAATGATTTGGAATGAAAATAATAAAATAAAGGACAGACAGATACATTCATTTTAAACTATTTCCATTATTGTATTGATTTAAATACAAACGACATATAAAACACAAAAGAATACAAAACACCGTTTGACAGCGTCGGCGGCGGGATGATGGAACCCGAGCCTCGTGGCAGCCACCGGGCCACCCCGGTGAGTGTGAGTGAGTCTTATTTACTCTTACTGCTTACTTCTTACTCTTACTGACGCAGCATGGGTGTAACAGCAAAAAAAAAAACCAAAAAAAAAAAAAAAAAAAAAACCAGATCGCCTAGGCTACACATTACCTTCTTAATCTAACCTAACTTCAAAACACTTAATGCAGCCACGAACCCGCATACACCCTCACCTGCCTTCCCCACATGCCCTAAATACATCATTCATTCTTTCAGTTTCACTTCAACCTTTACTTCTTCTGAGGTAGGGAGGTGTGCAATGTGCTCCGCGCCCTAATTATGAAAGTAGTTCCATATATTTCCGCAATTTTTTGTGGTTTACGCGCCATAAAGAAATGTTTTAAAGGTATTTTATGGTTTATTAGGATCGTAGGAATGGTCTAGGAAGGTTAGAAGAAAAGTCCAGAAAGTTCAGAAGTACCGGATTCTTCAACTTCAGATAAAGAAACCATTCAATTTTTGATTCCAGTAAGTTGACTAGGCCTAGCCCTTAGTTACAAGAAACGTTTTAGGTTAACCTCTTCAGGTCTTGATGCATGCCAAAGTCAAATAACTTAAGTAGTTAGCGTTCGATGAAAGTTTCAGTGAAGAAATTCACATTTCAAATTTTGAAGTTTGTGAATACCATCTTTTCAGTTTTCCAGATAAATGCTATTCACAACTACATTTCATTGCATAATACTCAGTTTTTCCTAAATAACTCTTTAGGCCTTGGCTACTTAGAATAGTTAAAACATTTTAAGTGATAATTTAGGCCTAGCCTATGTCAGGATACTGAATGATTGAATGAATGAATGAAAGAAGTGCTTTATTGAACAAAAGATTTTCCTTACAAACCTAGGCTCCTCGCAGGAAGCCACAATGACTTACACTAAAACCGTACGGTAATGGTTCATAGAACCGTCTACGTGATTGGCATACACTTTTAATTTAAAACTATAAATTAAATTCTGGACTAAAATCAAAAGTCTGAAATAAAAATGTTTAAGCGAATGAAACTAAAAAATAAAATAGCTGGCTCACAACTCAATATATGTTATAGATCCATATATACACACACAAATACATACACATACAAAACCAATACCCCCACCCTAAAAAAATCTTGTCTTAAAGTCAGTGAATTTTACCTTGAATCTAATTCTGGAGTAAGACAATTTCAAATAATTTTTATACGTTAAATTTGATTATCAATCCCCACCTAAAATGCCAAGCTTCTTTTAAATTAGTTCAGTCATGTCAGGATACTGAACGATTGACTATATACACTATTAATACAGTATTAACTTATATAGGCCTAGTCAATGTTTAAACCTATTTGATACCGTAATTGATACATGATAACTTACTTGATGTCCATCATCTTTGACCAGCACAGTTGTATCGATTGCGTCATGTTTTGTTGGCTAGATAAGGTCACCAAAGTTGTGTTTGAAATAAACTTACTCCTTCAATGATTAATAGGCTCTACCAATGAGCAAGGACTTAAAAATGTTAGATGCATACCCAAGGTAAGTTTTCTAGATCATAGGCCTATGTCCACATCTCCCTCCATCAAACAACAATGGTTAAAACAGAGTAACTTAATTGAATCTATGCCTAGGTTGCAACTATGTCCAATCCAGCAGAGGAGGAGACAAAAGTATCTAGTTTTTGCAATACGGAAACTTCAAGGTCACAACAAGAAATAATTGAATCTCTAATACCAGAAGGCCAACAACATACATTAGATTACTACATCCAATCTCTTGATGCTTGCCAAAGTCAATTAAAGCTATTGGATGAAAGATGCAAAGAAGAAACTACGAAAATTCAGACAAAATTTGAGAAGTCGAAAAAACACTTATTTGCCAAACGAACCAAAATGATCAAGAAAGTCACAAACTTCTATCTTCTTTCTGTATCCTTCAAATCTAACCCAAGTTACCTTGGCCAATAAGTAGACTTATCTTACCGTACTCTATAAGGTTTACTGAATGTTTTTTAGGCTGACAACTGAGTGAGTTATCACCTCTATTTCTTAAGTCCCAGTTGACTAAATTATAACACGAGATCAGTTAGTCCAGGATCTGAAGGGGGTTGAGTATGCATGGAAGGACTGACGCAATTTTATTGCTGATTGTTGTTATAGGCACTATAGAGATCATGAAAACGCATGTTGTCGCCACCCAGCGTGGTCGACATTCCGAGAGGGTGGGGGAAATATGGCGGGTGGTGCCGTTTAGTAAAATGCTTATAACTCAAAAACCGTTTTAGATAGAACATTGCAATAAGCGCCAATTTACTCATAAAAGTATCAACATTACCTTTAAAAAAGGTTGATATGTTTAAAGCCGTATCTTGGTTAATTATTTAGTTATAATGTATTATTTTATACTGAAATTACAATCTTCAATAATATATTAAGCAAAACCAGTTTTTAACACGTTTGCTACTGCAATAGTACAACATTTTTCATTCACATGGACCAGCGACGCTCATATGCAACGGCCGGTTTCCACCCATAGACTGCCGTCGCATATTTTCGTCGGGGTTCTAATGTTATTAAAATGCTCATATCTTTGTAACGGTCTATTTGAAGGCACTGAATTATCTGCAGTGGTCTACAGAGATGTCTGACGCACAACTGCGTCGCTTGGTCTTTGGATATGATGATTGGTGACGTCATATGATAGTTGGGTAAACTGTACTTTACTTTTGTGCATCACTGTAGGCCTATGTATGTATGCAGTATTTATGGCACAATATCCTATGTAGCTTTTATATATGTTCAGTTATAAACTGTTCTTGAATAATCTGTTTTTTTTTACTTACTTTCACCTGAGAACACAAACAAAATGAACTGTCGCATATATGCGACGTTTGGTCTATTTCAAGAAAACTATGATAATTTTCACTATTGTCTTCGCTGTAGACCGGGCGTCGCAAATATGCGACATTACAAAAAGTTATGAAAAATACAAAATACCCCCGTCGCAGCAAACCTGTATACTAAATGAATTTCCATTTACCCGGCTTGATTTCTACTAAAATATTCCCTATAAATTTTCAGATTTATTTCCTATTTAAATAACATTAATTTTAGTGAGTACAGTAGTTAGGTTTGCTGCCACGGGGAAGATATGGAGGTGTGTTTTTTTAATTAAAATATTGATAGCTTAGTATGAAATAAACCAAATTGCCAAATTAGATTAAAATATATCCATAAACAAGCAAACTACAACAGTTTATTTATTCTCCATAAGAATAACATGGGAATGTTAAATTTAACATTTTTTTAATTTTCTCCGTAGTCAATAAACATTTAAAAACACTTCAATATACTAAATTATTTGTTTTTTTAAGTTCTTCAAAATGGTCTAGAGATAAATTTAGAAATTTAAAGTTTTTAGGGTCAAAAATGGGAAAAATCAATTTTTACCCCATAAAACCCTTCATAAACCCCTGTTGCCATAGTCCGATTATGCTGGTTCGCAAACTCGTTCGAATAAACGTAGGTTTACACGTTTGTACCAAATTTCATCATATATATATGAATTTGAACGGATGGTGTTTTTGGCCTATGGGGACCTCAAAATGAAAAAGTAAATCGGTCCCGGGTCTAGGTCTTACAATGGGACCTACGGTAATAGCTTATTCCCTATATGGGAAATTCGCTAAAAACAAGAATAAATTATTTACAAACACGATCTTAGCGAATTACAATGTAAATGATCACTGTTTTACAGGTTTTCGCCTGTGGTCTGTGTGTACTGTTATTTAAATGACAGCCGGTCTATGTCTAAGATTCAAATGTATACCTCGGTTTGTGGCAATGACCGCGAGCGAACGTGTTAAATGATATAAAACATAAAATTCTATATATAAAAATTCAAGAAATTACATTTTTAACAGATTAGAGGTGTCAGAAAATAATACTGAAGATAGACTGTGGCATTAGAATAAGAATCTTTATTACCCTTTAAACATTTTACAGTGCAATAGGGTTCGTCATTTGCTACATGATAGTTAAATGTAATTTAACCACTGACCATACGCTTTATTAGACACAAGGGAGTTATAATTTGTATTACTATTTTTTATCAGTATTTACAATTCCTTGGTACAAATTTGAAGCTCAGTGAAGAAGTACGGAGAAAGTTTTCCTCAATTTACATGGATTTATGTTACCTTTACCGATGGGGATTTACCTCCAAAACATGTTTCTTTAGCATAATACATACCTACGTCACTATACTTCATCCCATCAACATAACTCATTACTGTTCTCAACAAACTCAGACATTGCACCTGTTACCTGTGCCTGAAGATAATTGATAGTCAAGCAGCCAGGGATATTATAATGAAAAATAAAACTGAGAGTGTACTTTTATCTATAAATATATTCTGTGACCCTGATCTTTTCTGTTATAAAGCAGTAGAAAATGATGACTTAAGAGACGGAAAAAGAAAATCCCATTTTACTGTAATCGGGTTAAAACATCAACTGACCGTGACCAACACTCAAACCACATCGAATCAACGCCTGCCCCTCAAACAGAAGTTGATTGCACTGATATTATTATGCAACAGACTGTAAAGAAATGTGTCAGATTAAAAAAAAGCAATTAGTCGATCCAGAGAAATTTTACAAAAAATGTAACAAAAGGTGCTCTATAAGTTAAAAAAAATTATCATACAGGGCTTCCAGGCGACCTAACGTGAATTTAAATGTTTGAATAGCAGCCGAAAAATCCGCCCGAACTGGCCAATTTTTCATACTTTGCGTTGTTGAAAATCACGAGTTCTGGAAACTATATCACTAATAACGGACGTTGGCGCAATCTTAAGATGACCTCGGATGTGGTCGTGATTGCAAAAATAGTCACAGGAGTTGAAATAGTTACAGGAGACGATTGCAGATTTTGCTGCGGTCGCGTGACAGGTGTTGTTCACGACCACAGTACATTCACATAGTTATTGCCTCGATTGTGACAAATTAATTAAAGTTGTTTACATGATCATCTTTAAGATAAACCGACGATCACGCATTATTACGTGTGTTGCTCTGATTGCAAAAATTATCATGGATATATTTAACCTCGCGACACGGGTGATGCCGCGACCGAGAGAAATTATTACGTATGTGCTAGATCACTGGAAATCATGACAGATTTTTCCACAATCGTAAGAAATTATCAAAAATTTGGTCCTAATCAAAATATTTGATCACCGATTTTGCTGAGAAATTATCACGATATTTGTCAAAAGGGTTTTAAAAATACTAGCAGGTATGAGTTTTGCCTATTTTGAGCGACAAGATTTTCCTAGAAATTTTAAAACTGAAAACCTGGAATTGTCCTTGAATTTTATTTTGATAAGACACGACACAAGTCTAACGCGTATGTTCACGTGGTGCCACAACTGGACTAGATGCGCGGGCACCCAAAAGAACCACCGCGAGTAGACGAGACGGAGGGAGAACCAGAACAGTGTAGTGTAGTGTGTGCGGAGGTAGCGGCCTGATCGACATCTTCTTCAATCGGATGAGTAATCTTAGAATGAGTAGATAATATCGTAGGGGTTGGGGAAGGGTGAAGGGTAAAGAATTAGTAATTTATTAGGTTTACCAAATGGTCGTGGTCTCCTGATCAGTATTCCAAATTTATATAAATAATATTTGAATTCACGTTAGCTACTACGAAATATAGTAGTTACCATTACGAAACATCAATCAATCAATCAAATCAAAATATCCTTTATTCATTTAAGTACAATTGTACAGGAATAGAGTCAGATCTTACAAAATAAAATGTTTTACATTTAAGAACTAAAAATAAGACAGAATATCTATTTTATTTGTTCTCCCAAAACTCTTCAAGAGAATAAGGGGCAATTTTAATCAAATACTGTTTCAGACAATTTTTAAACTTTTTTGTATCATTTTCAGTTAGAAGTATTTTTGGAAGATGGGACATAAATTTATTTCCTGCAAATTTTGTTTTCTTTTTATAAAATTCTAGATTGTGTCTATCAATTTGAGATTGAGAACGAGTGTTATAATTATGACTAATTTTGTTTGATACCTGAGTTTTTGTAATATTTTTTGCATAAATAATAGTTTCCAAGATATATAGTCCATGAACAGTTAGTATTCCAAGATCGGTAAAAATATGTTTTACCGAATCTTTCCTTTTCAAATTAAACATTGCCCTAATTGCCCTTTTCTGGTACGATAGAATCCGTTTTAAGTTTTTTGATGTAGTTGCTCCATATATACTGATTCCATAAGCTAAATTAGAATGAACTAAGGCATAATATATTGATATTAATGTTTTTAAGCTGCAAACTTTATACATTTGTCTTAAAGCAGATACTCCTGAAGACATTTTTTTGATAACATGATCAACATGTTTGTCCCAGGCTAGATTTTTATCAATTATTAAACCAAGAAATTTTGTATGTTCTACCTGTTGTAATTTATAATCTTCTAAGATTATGTCTGGATTTAATTTGTTTTTGTTTTGTTTTGTAGAAAATGATACAAAATTAGATTTTTCAGGGTTTAAAAGAAGGTTTTTGCTATCTAAGAATTTGTTTATGATGGAGAGACTGACCAATGATGATGCCTCAATACTTTCTTTTGAATTTCCACAAATGGTAATATTAGTATCATCAGCATACAAACAGGCCGCCCCGCCCACAGGCATCAAGTCAGGCAGACCCCTCAAGTATATTAGGAACAAGAGGGGCCCCAACACCGACCCCTGCGGAACTCCATGGCGGACCATCTGCATCTGTGAATTAAACTTTTGGATGTAATTATATTTACTTGAGAAATCTGATTTATAATGTTCTATCTCAACATATTGTTGCCTAAGAAATAGGTAGGATCTAAACCAATTTAATTCTTTGTCATGA